TCACAATTTACTCTCTAGCTACACCTTTCATAAAACTCATAAAGAATCACATGGAAAAAAGACTTTAGTGATTCTACAAATGCCGGAATGTGAAAAGAAAGGACATGTCTACACTGGATCTTTGGGAGTGGGCGAATGTGGGCTAAACAGGATTGCATGAGGTGCAATATTCCATTTGTTATACTGGCATCTAAATGACATATTGGAGACTGAGTGACTTTTGTTTGGCTCCTTCTGATATCATGAAGTGTCTCAGTAAGTTAGCCACTTCAGGAGATTGATAAATTGAACACTTCGCTCCTCAGCAGAGGCAGGGGAGTGATTGAAATAAAAAACCTCTGGTAGACTATTGCTGAGGCACTGCATCGCTTAAAATAAAAAATAAATATATTCTTTTGTTTGTCTGAAGGGTCAGTATTTTTGCTCGCATTTTGTTGACCAGCCCTTTCAGAAAAGTCGGTTCATGATATCAGAAATTCAAACTGGAAGGAGCCTTGATAGCCAGGAAGGCTTGTTCTTGCTCCATTTCCAGTGATCACACATGCTGGAAATGAACCAAACCAGAGCAATTCTACTTGCACTAAAGAAGTAAAAGTCCCTGACAGGTGTTCAAGAAGGTGTGGGTAGTACTGCTCTAGAGACAATTTGTTTTGCTCCAATATTGTGTGATCACTGGCAAACAGAGTGAACCAAACAGCAGGACAAATGCCTGTCTGATTGAGCCCAAAACTAGTAGCAAGTTGTATCTGAGGTTGCTGGAATACATCATGAATTGGTATCTGACTCTCACAAGCTATATTTTAAAAATTGATGAAATGCCTGCAAAACTGGCCTGTTGACAAGATAGGCAATTTCTTGAAATTTCTTTGGGTGCCAATTATACCTCCAGACATGAAGATCCTTCAGCAAATTAGCAAGCCTAACCTTTCCACATCATTGAGAATGATGCCATCCCATGAATTATATCTTCCTAGCCCTCCTGACTGTTTTTCTGAGCTTCTCTATCAGCTCCTCACCAACAGAAAATCAGAAAGAATTTGTTGTGTGACAGAAGAGAACAGTACACAATAAATCATTTCTAAGTACGGAATAGAAACATGAGGCAGTTGAAAGCTGTTCACCTAGTGAACTCTTGACTTTGCAAGTAAGTGTTCACATTAACAGAAGATTCACTGAGCAAACTGGAGTATCATCAGCAGTGAAGCAAGAGGGGGCTGCCCCATGAATGTTTGGATTCTGACATGGGGACATCCAGTGGGATAGATGGGAGATGCAGATATGTTGCAGTTCAACTTCTGTCTATCTCAGTGACTGGTACTTATCTGGGTAAGGTTGGTGAAGAGCCATCAGTGTACTGTGGTGACAAGGAATTTATGAAGAAGTTAATATTTGTACCAATATCAGAGGAAAGACTCTCTGGCTCACAGGACTAATTTGGACTGCAAACTTCCTGGATCAACTGTGGGGATTTATAGAGCATCTCCTCTATAGGCTACATGGAAATGTGAGCAATCAAAAAACCAATATTAAGGAATACCATTTTCCTAACAAGTAAAAAAACTAAGATCATGGCCACTGGCCCCATCACGTCCTGGCAAACAGAAGAGGAAGATATGGAGGCAGTGACAGATTTTACTTTCTTGGGCTCCATGAGCACTGCAGATGGAGACAGCAGCCACGAAATTAAAAGACACCTGCTTCTTGGGAGGAAAGCGATGACAAACCTTGACAGCATCTTAAAAAGCAGAGATATCACCTTGCCAACAAAAGTCCGAATAGTCAAAGCTATGGTTTTTCCTGTCGTGATGTATGGAAGTGAGAGCTGGACCATAAAGAAAGCTGACTGCCGAAGAATTGATGCCTTTGAATTGTGGTCCTGGAGGAGGCTCTTGAGAGTCCCCTGGACTGCAAGGAGAACAAACCTATCCATTCTAAAGGAAATCAACCCTGAGTGCTCACTGGAAGGACAGATCCTGAAGCTGAGGCTCCAATACTTTGGCCATCTCATGAGAAGAGAAGACTCCCTGGAAAAGACCTTAATGTTGGGAAAGTGTGAAGGCAAGAGAAGGGGACAACAGAGGATGAGATGGTTGGACAGTGTCACCGAAGCAACCAACATGAATCTGACCCAACTCCGGGAGGCAGTGGAAGATAGGAGGGCCTGGCGTGCTCTGGTCCATGGGGTCACGAAGAGTCGGACATGACTAAACGACTAAACGAAACGAACGAACAAGTAAAGCTCTCTCAGCTAGCATTTAAAGGTGCCTATGAGTCCAATTCTTAAGACTCAGCTAGCACATATGGAAGTCAGTGGAAAGAATCTTGTCTTCCTTCGTTTGTGTCAAAGTGAAGGGCAGTGGAGCAAAGACAGGATTTCACTGAAGCAACAAGGGAAGAGACTTCACCTGAGGCTTTTTTGGGGGATCTCATGGCACCAAGGAATCTCTGAGGGCTGCTGACTATGTGTGTGCTGGCCCCCATCCGAAATATTTCACTGATCATTTCTAGATGCTTTGATTCGTATTTCAAAAAGCAAATGAACTGTAAATCTCACCAGGAGTAACTTCAGTATCAGGAGCTGATAGAAAAAGTTCCATACTGTTCAGCTACAGCTCGGGTTTTTCTCAAAAAATTTGTACCTACTATTAGCCAATGCCAACTTAGACCAAGATGGCAACCTCAAGAGGCCCAGGAGTCTCACAGACTCACTTTGGACCCTAAAGGACCAGACATGCTCTTACACCATAGTCACACCAAAAACGTTTTTCTCTCAAAAGGTTTTTGTAATTAAAAAATACATACTCTCTTGTGACCATTTTCGAGGTATATGATTTACTGAAAGACCTCAAAACATGGCTGAATTGCCTACCATTTCAATCAAAGAGCAAAAGCGGATTTTTGGAGCCCATTTTTAAACATTACATTTAATATTTGTAAGGGGCCCACAATTATTTTACTTATTTAAAATACTTTTATCACACCTTTCTCCTCAAAGATCACAGCTGTCTACTTTGAGAGGAACCACTCTAATTTTCCAAAGAACAAAACTGCTTACATAAAACAAAGCATTTGGAATGCATTCCAGTGGAACTACTTAAAATCTTAAAAGATGACACTGTTAAGATGCTACATTCAATATGCCAATAAATTTGGAAAACTCAACAGTGGCCAGAGGACTGGAAAAGATCAGTCTACATCCCAGTCCCAAAGGGCAGTGCCAAAGAATGCTCCAACTACTGTACAATTGCACTCATTCCACAAGCTAGCAAGGTTATGCTCAAAATCCTCCAAGGTAGGATAGCAGTATGTGGACCGAGAACTCCCAGAAGTACAAGCGGGATTTCGAAGGGGCAGAGGAACTACAGACCAAATTGCTAACATGCACTGGATTATGGAAAAAGCCAGAGAGTTCCAGAAAAACATCTACTTCTGCTTCACTGACTATGCAAAAGCCTTTGACTGTGTGGACCACAGCAAACTATAGCAAGTCCATAAAGAAATGGGAGTGCCTGACCACCTTATCTATCTCCTGAGAAACCTATACGTGGCACAGGAAGCAACAGTTAGAACTGGATATGGAACAACTAATTGGTTCAAAAATGGGAAAGGAGTATGACAAGGCTGTATATTAAGATTGCCGGAAGAAATATCAACAACCTCAGATATGCAGATGATACCACTCTGATGGCAGAAAGTGAGGAAGAATTAAGGAACCTTGTAATGAGGGTGAAAGAGGAGAGTGCAAACAACGGTCTGAAGCTGAACATCAAAAAAACTAAGATCATGGCCACTGGTCCCATCACCTTCTGGCAAATAGAAGGGGAAGATATGGAGGCAGTGACAGATTTTACTTTCTTGGACTCCATGATCACTGCAGATGGTGACAGCAGCCCTGAAATTAAAAGACACCTGCTTCTTGGGAGGAAAGCGATGACAAACTCGACAGCATCTTAAAAAGCAGAGACATCACCTTGCCAACAAAAGTCCAAATAGTCAAAGCTATGGTTTTTCCTGTAGTGATGTACGGAAGTGAGAGCTGGACCATAAAGAAAGCTGACTGCCGAAGAATTGATGCTTTTGAATTGTAGCACTGGAGGAGGCTCTTGAAAGTCCCCTGGACTGCAAGGAGAACAAACCTATCCATTCTAAAGGAAATCAACCCTGAGTGCTCACTGGAAGGACAGATCCTGAAGGTGAGGCTCCAATACTTTGGCCATCTCATGAGAAGAGAAGACTCCCTGGAAAAGACGCCGATGTTAGGGAAGTGTCAAGGCACGAGGAGAAGGGGACGACAGAGGACGAGATGGCTGGACAGTGCCATCGAAGCTACCAACATGAATTTGACCCAATTCCAGGAGGCAGTGGAAGACAGGAGGGCCTGGCGTGCTCTGGTCCATGGGGGTCACGAAGAGTTGGACATGACTCAAGGACTAAACAACAAAAAAGACCAAGATGACAGTTGAACTATTATCGAAAGATGTTGGTAAAGCATAAAAATGTGAGAACAGATCCAGTTTTAGACAAGATGACCCATTTTTTGTGCAGACCACTGTTCCTGCTTACAGCTGTGCTTACAGAACAAAACTTCAAAATCTGCCACATAGCACATGACTTGAGAGCCTCCTACATGTCACATTGGCAAAGAACATAGAAGTTGCACAAAGGCACAAAGGTTTGTGTTGTCCTTCTGCATTGTCCTTCTACTTGCTTTTCACAGAAATCTCATAGAAGTTCCTGGTGAAGTCTCATGCACAATAGCATTAAAATCACCCATAGATATTTAAAGAAACTGAACTTTTAATGTACCGTATTTTTCGCTCCATAAGACGCACCTTTCCATAAGACGCACCAATTTTTTAGGAGAAGGAAACAGGAAAATATAATCTGTTTTCTTCACCCCTGTTTTGTGGGGGAAAAATGTGTCTTATGGTGCGAAAAATACGGTATGTCTTACCAGCTGAAATCCAGTAGTGGTCACAACTAGAGTAAGCCCATTTAAACAGTGGAACATACAGAGGAACTGACTTACCAAATCCCAATTAATTCAATGGGTGTACTCTAGTTGCACCTTACCAGTGAATTTCAGCTTTACATAGAATATTAAAGCAAAAAGTTCTGAAATTTTCCACCACAGAAAAAAATATACAAAGAGATGCCATCAATTCTTTAGGTCACAAGTAAACAGAGTTTTCTGTAATGACACCACACGATCTTTTAATTGTGTCTGAAATGAGAATTCAGATTTTTCTTTTTTTTTAAAGAGGCATAATTTTTGTTTTCTATCAAATATTAGGCAACAAAAAACATGATAGTTTCTGTAATTTTCCCCCAAAAGGGGGAAGGCCCTCATAAATAGAAACTTCACCTGCAAACAAGTGTCACTATGGACCACTGCAGAAGTAAATAAGCAAAATAGGTTTTGATTTAGTCTTTTAATTGGATGTCTATTTGGTAATGATATCCTCACACTGTATTTCATCACTGGAATGCAAAATAATTAAAAATATGAGTTTTAAGGATCACTTCTTTCAAAACAGAATCTTGTTCTTAAATAGCACACAAGTACATGGATATACCAGAGTTCAGACATCACCTTTACAAACATTTCTTAGCTCAGCCTTGAAAATAGTATTTCTGAAGCACAGCAATAGACAACAGGAAACCACAAACCTATTATCACCTCTGGTTAATTATGCTTTGCCCTGCTGCCTCTGAGGTAGCTCTTCCACCTCTTGACAAATTCTTTGAATATGGGGCTGTTGTCTATTGTACTTATGAGTTGGAGCTGATTGATGTGGGTAGTATGATAGTCCCACCGGGCAAGGTTGGGAGCTGTTCCCAGCATGAAGTGACGAAGGTCATAGATTGTTCCTGAGCCTGTATCGTAGAGTGGTAGCATTGCTTTCAGAGACTCCATGCCTCGGTCATATAGAAACTTTGCCTCTTTTCCTACCTTGTCCCCTGCAGTTTCCTTTAAGTCATATAGACCAAATAGAGAATACATAAATCCATTTAAAACAAAAGAGCTAGGTGTTGTTGGATATTCCTCATACCAGTCATATTTATTCATAAAGATGGCCTTCACGCCATGTTGGTCTGACAAGAGCCTATAAGGTGCTGTAGCCCGCAGAGCTGCACTGAGGAACAAGTGGTCTTTTGTCAACAAATAAGCTCTGACTAAGGTTGAAATTGCCTGGCCTTGTGCCATGCCAGAGTACCAGCCTGGGTCCAAAGATTTAAAGCCTTCCCCTAGCTTCCGGGTCACCATGATTGGCCAACCACCCTTCTCATCCTGGTTCCTTACCAGCCAGTCACTGGCAGCAAAAAAGGCTGCCATATGCGCTGTGGTTGAAATAGTGACATTGTCAATGAAACCTTTTCCTTTCACCACTAACTTCACCACTCTTTTGGGCATTATTTTTGTCTGTTTGACAGCTTTTGTGTTAGAGAGGCCAACTCCCTTCCTTAGATCTGTTACGAGGTCTCGTGTTATTGTGCTCCAGCTAGTTCTTGGGCCAATGCCATAGGAAATGTCTTTATCCTTAAAAGCTATCAGCAGAGTGTTTGAGAGATAGTGCACTGTATAAAGCTGGTTCTTCTCTGTTGTCTCAATAACCACAGAAATGCTCCCATTTGTTACAAATTTGAGGTCAAAAGAAATAATGAAGTCTTTCATGTTTCCCAGTTGTAGAGATGCACCCTCAGAATTTTCTGCAAGTAAACAAAAGAAAAATATTTCAGTTATTTTGGAAAAACACACACACCAAGGGATCTCTTTTGTTATGTATTGATGAATAGCAGGGAAGTACAATCAATTCAGATGAAGCCAGAGACAATCAGACCACCTCAGGCTGATTCTGATGGTTCCTGATGCAAAAAGGCTTTGATTTGGAGCTATCAGAAGCAAAACAGGACTCCAATCAAAGTCTAATGCAGGAATCAGAGAGGTAGCTGGTGATGAGGAAAGAAACATTCAGGTTTCTGTGAAACAGTTAAGGTTTGGGAAATAGAGAGGGATAAACGACTGACAATTCCACCTTCTAATCATATGGCATGCATTAACAGAGGCTCTGCGGAACTCTCACATAAACGAATGCATATATCCTTATGAAACTTTGCATATTTGTTACATAGTGGCACCTATACAATATGTGTCACTTAAGGCTGCCTTTGCACATTTGTTAAATAAGTGTAGTTGTCATTTTCAGAACAACTGGTTCACGAAGGGGAAAACAGGCCCTTTAAATATACCTTACAAATACTGGTCTTTTACAAAAAAAACCCCTGCACATATTCATTCATTCATTCATTCAATTTGTATCCCACTCCCATTAGTGTCACAGCACTACTCTGAACAGCTTACAACTTGTAAAATAGAAAACAAACATGGGGATACTAAAACCAAAAGCAATTTCTCTTTAAAAAAACTCAGATGGCATTGATAAATCTCAGAGCAGATGGAGGAAAAGAGAGGAAAGAATAGGAGGAAAAAAAGGAAAAAAGGGGGGCAGGTGGTCAGCTGGGGTCAGTGTGGAAAGCCTCCTTGAAAAGCAAACCTACTGTCTTTTTTGCTCCATAAGAGGCACTTCTCCCCCCCCAAATAGTGGGGGGGAGAAAGTATGTGCGTCTTATGGAATGAATACAGAAAAAAGGGGTTCAACCACCACCACCCAGAAAACCCCTACTTCCATGCTGGGAGGCCTCTGAACTAGCACCAGAGACTGCTTGCTGTTTGGACCCCACCATTCTGCACTGCTGGCTTTCCAGGATCTGCTTCCTGCAGCCCACCTGGAAAACCAGCAAGGCTAAAAGGCCTATGGTAGCAGGCAGTGAAAATAGCCAAGGACCAAAGAGGAAGGAGTAATTCTGGAAAGAACAGGAGAAACCACAAACATAGTCCCCCACTTAGGCAGTTGATTTCCCCACATTTGGGAAAATCACAGGGGTCAGCACATCCAGAATACAATAGATGAGCCTTACAGCAGGAAAACAACTTTTACAACAGCGGTATCTCCCCTACCAAGTATGAGTTGGAATGTCCCCTAAACCACCTGCCCCTTTCTGTGGCCTGTCCCCCAAAGGCATGGTGACCTCCGCTGCACCTCCTGATCAGAACAGGGCTGCACAGCCCCAGTCCTGAAAGAGGCCAAGAGAGCTACTCAGTGTTTTGGGGTGCCCCACAGGACCCCCATCAGGGGCTGGATGTTCCTCCCACAATCATCCAGTGCACAGATATTAGCATATCTAATATGCGGGGAAGGCAAGGAAAGCGGGGAAATTCAAACTTTCAGTTAGTGAAGAGGCTGCTTGTCTGCTTCCTTGCTAGCAGTTAGAGCGCTGAGAGAGAGACCTGGGACTGCCTGGTATTGTCATTTTAAAATGTAAAATTTAGTTTAAAAGCTGTTTGTTTGGGGTTAGTGCTTGGGTGAAAAGGTGCTCTGTTTGAGTTGAAACCTGCTTGTGTAGAAATGTGCACAGGGGTACTTGCTTTAAAAGCTCTCTGCAAAGCCTTTCAGACCAGCGCCGATCAGCTGTTAGGTGGGGAGAGGGGAGGGGGAAGGAGCTGAGAAGAGCACAGAGAAGAGCACAAAATGGCTGCCAGCTGCCGGCTTCCTGCTGGCTTTCAGCTGTTTAGGGCTCTTTTTTGGCTGTTCTGGGATCTACCAAGGCACTGTGAAGAGCAAGGCTCAGTCTACAGTACCTGGTAAGTGACTTTCTTTTAAGTTTTTTAAAGTTTCTGACCTCCCCCCATAAAAATGCATTAATTAATTTTCAATGCATTTTTATGGGAAATTTGGATTCAAATTTGCAAACTTTTCAACTAGTTCTGGGCATCTAATAGAGAAT